GTGTATATATCACTGTGAATACACAGTATGGCGTATATGTCACTGTGAGTACACAGTATGCTGTGTATTACATATTACTGCCCGAATATGGACGTTTGTGCCTGAGCGCAGGTAATCGTTTGCCCGACATTAGGAGTATGGCCCGTGTATCTGTCACTGCATCATATCGTACTCTTCTTTATTTTTTTTCAGGAAAGTGGTCGCTGTGAAAAAACAGGCTCCGATTTTTCCTGATTTGAACCTGAATACAACTTTTTCCACGTTAAAATATTGGAAGCGGAATACAACAACAAGAAATGAGATTATGTAAGGACGGACGGACATTTTTTTTTACAAAATGACCACAATAGAGCACATGTCGCTTTCAAATATATTGAGTTTACTGATAGAAATATTATTACCTTCGCGTTGAATATTCAAAAATGAAAGTTTCATCAATGTATCGGATTTCGATGTTTGTATCGTTTTATATCGGAACCATTGTAAATTTTCTACGATTTCGAAACACAATTAGGAGTTGGAACGTTGGAGCACACGATCATTTTAAAAGGTAGTTTGTTGTATCTTAATCAGAACTACCTAGTGAGTTATCTATAAATGAAACAAACCAAGTTTAAATATGTTCGTCCCCTGAGATTGTATAAAGCGCAAATGCGCATGCGCATAGGTGTATATATACGTACCGGTAAATCGAATAAGTTCACGCGCAAAAGTTTATAATGATATCATTGACGAATTGTACAAAGTTATTATTGGACGGAAGTTCATATCGATTTTTTTGGTCTACAAAATATCAAACAGAATCATTTAATATTAAAAAAGTAATCCAAAGTTACATAGATTGCATTTCTAGAAATTTGCTTCAATAACAATGATTGCTGAATAATAATCACGTGACATAAACTTTTGCTCACCATTTACATACACCCATTGAGTGCAACTGTTATCATCAAAGCTTTTGTACCACCACCGTTTATATTTTAGGTTGTAAATTTACTCCGAGGGCGCTGCAGTGCTCACAATGTCGTTTTACTGTTCACAGGTATGGTACCAATCACATGAACGGATCCTATTTCATCTTCACGCAACGTAATAGTGAAATTGGTCGGTTGTATTACAACACGTTCCTTGATAGCCCAGTTCCAATTGATTATCATAAACAGAGGCTTCTACCAGAGGTGAGTAACCTGAACACGCTAAGGAACCTGCCGGTGTACTCCGTCGAAATTTACATTGGATAATAAACGCGAGCTGCACGGCGACTACCTATCACAATTTCCTTTGTCTGTTTCTCTGCTAGTTTCTGGATTCATATTTACGTTCGTCTGCTGCATTTGTTTTGTATAAAACGCTTACAATTCATTTTCACTCTAGTCCCACCAGAGCAGTATTCAGCTCGGGTAAACGTATGCGGCACCTTGCCTTTTCGAAATACGATCTCCCTACTAGTACCAAAGTGTATTCGGTGGTATTAAAGTCGCATTCGTAAAGCATTCATAGATCCTGTGAGAGGGCAATGCGTCTATTCTGTGATATATTTATGGTCTCACTATTTGCGTGAATTCAGATCATCAAATATATCACATAATTGTCAAATAACTTTAACATCGGTAATTTGTGTTGAAGGTCACGCCCTTTTCCAGAGCAATACGTTCTTGTGCTGTGATTGGAAATGGTGGGATTCTGAGGAGAAGTAGATGTGGTGGACAAATTGATGAACATGACTTTGTAATGAGGTAATGACACCTAAATTGATCGTCTCGTTCACCTAATAACACATGTTACAGTAATTCAACCGATGTAAGATGTGTATGTCATTTTTTATTCAATTGTAAGTAATGGTACTTTCAGATGTTCGATATTCGATACTCATTTGAACCGTTTGACAAGCTCCTTTTCTACATCTGTATCTCCTACTTCATGACTGCAATTTACTTTCCCTATAAACTGCGCCCTCTAGCTCATCAGTGGCTCCATGGTAAGAAGCCATGTTGTTAATTTATTTAGTCGTTCGTCATAGTAAACAGTTGCGGCGGCACAGAGGGGGGTGACGGTCGCCCCCTCGAAAAAATGTTGGGGAGGGGGCGTCGCCGCTTCAAAATCAAGCTGAAATCCTTTGTGTCAGCAAAATGTGTCCCTCAAAAATGCAGAAAATAGGGTCTAGATTTCAAAATTGCCCCGGACCCCCATGCAAAATGTCGTGCCACCGCCTCTGGTAAAGCCCTCAAAAACAAGATTTCTATTGATTGACGACCATATATTGAAACAAACCGGATGTTGCAAATGACGTCTCCATGCCGCCAGAGGGCTTAAAGGGAAGGTAGATTAGCACCCTTGTTATATTTTTACTACAGGTCGAACCTGCAGCCAATCGAGAAGTACAAGCAGGATGCGGGCAGCAAGGCCAACTTAACAACTATAAATCCCAGTCTCATTAAAACCAGGTAACGTATTTTCATCGAAATAACAGCAAACAGCAAAATGTCATATTCCTTGTAAAACAACGACAGTAACAACAACAAAACGGTTCTAAGATTAGTTAATTATTGGGCTGACGCAATGAATTGACACACCATTTTTGTCACACTACACATATGTTTAG